TAGAACAACAGTGTGATATAAGTTTGGTTTTGCTCGCTCTTTATTTTTCAGCTTGCAGATTTTTTGGCTAAGGTTATGTAAATCTTATAAATTCCTACATTGTTCATATTCCAATTTCTCCACTTCAAATCTCACTTTGTCGAATATTAAGGGGAAAATCTTACTTTAGAACATTATATTATGTACAGCCATCTTGTTTTGGGATTTCTTATAAGTATAAGCTTGCTCGGAAATTGTAGTTTCTGAATCTGTGCAACCTTATTGTCATAATCAGTCATGTCGTGATAGTTTAAAGTTGACCCGTTTGCAATACATATGAATAAGCTGTAAATGTCAATTTGGGAAGTCTAGCAGATACAATCCTTTTGCCGTGTCATAATTCATTGAAGCTCTACCTGAGTGAATGTCCTTGTCCTTATTCATTTTGAGCTTATCACATTTTACATATCTTTTTCGTATATGATATGCCATGGTTAAATAATAGTTTGTGGCCCTAACATAATTCTATTTTGGCAGTGAGGTCATTTGGTACAGAAGGTCGGAAAAAGGATGGACCGCAGGTCCTTCCTAGCGACAAAATTTATGAATACATACTATTCCGAGGGAGTGACATCAAGGTGCATGTCTAATTTCCATACATCTAGTTTGATTGCAGTTTTTTTCCTTCCCGACATGATATTTGGTCTATTATTTAGTTGCGCTGTGTTCTCATTTTTCGCTGTTGGAGGATCTTGTCAGTTACTACATGATATTTGTTCTATTATTTATACGCAGAAGTTTCCATGAGTAGATTGTGCGCAAGTATCTTTTAGTTTCAGAGATTCAAGAGCATTCTGTAGTAGTTTTCCCTTTCTATGATCCATTTAGTTTAAGTATATAATTAACGTCCATGATTAAGCCCCAGATTCCCGAAGCTTATGTTCCCAAAATTTAATTAGAACGCACTATCCTTGACTTATTCTCGAGACTAATTCTGTTACTCTAATGTTTCATAATGCTTAAATTTTTTATCTACACTTGTATGTTCCACAGGATTTACAAGTCAAAGCTTCTCCACCTGTTCAGACCACTCCTCCACCCATTAACAATGACCCTGCAATTATTCAGGCAAGTTTATGAACAGCTGCATTAGTAATCTGATCGATGAGGACTCAATTACGGCTGACCAGTTAATTTCTAGTGCAGTCTCACTATCCTCGTCCACCAGCTCAGACCACAAGCATGCCTGCGGCAGCCCCCAACGCTTCTTTGCCTGACCCTGTTTCCCATTCTTTGCAAACGGGACTTCCTGGCTCGACTTTCCCAAACAGTCTGCATTTATATCAACCTGGTGGGAACTTGAACTCATGGGGACCTTCTCCATCAAACCCAAATGGCAGTGGCCTGGCCATGCCGATGTACTGGCCGGGATTTTACGGCACGCCTAATGGGTTGTCTCAACTGCCTCAGCAGCAGTCCTTGCTTCGGCCGCCACCTGGCCTGTCTATTCCTCCTTCCGTGCAACAGATGCAATTTTCGGGCTTCAATTTTTCTCCACCAATGGCCTCATCTAGTTTGCCTACTTCGACTTTGCAAGATTATCAGTCATCCTTGCTTCCAAACAGCACTAGTTCCTCTAGATTGACCCCTGATACTTCTTTGACTTCCCCATCCTTGTCTTCGAACGTGCCCCCTCTACAGCCTATGCCACTTGTATCCGAAAAACTGATTAATCCACCTCAAAACAAAGCTTCTCCAGTGTCTGACTCTTTTACATTGACATCAACACCTAGCTCTAGTCTGCCGTTTTCAGCTCAACTTCCGAATTTGGTTCCTGATAAAGCTGGACTACATTCGGTTGCCAGTAAGCCCATCCCGATACCCGGTCCAGCAGATGTGGCCCAGCAAGATATATCTCAGCCCGTGCCACCATCGTTTTCTCGGACATCTGCTTCTGTTGTTGCAGAAAAGAAGACACCTTCACTTGTAACTCCTGGCCAGCTTCTGCAATCTGTACCAGCTGCTGTTTCTTCACATACAATGCAGAAGGACGTTGAAGTGGTGCAAGTGTCATCAAAACTGCCGCCAGAGGCTTTGGTGCCGGCAGCACTGGAAGCTCAGCCTCCAATATTGCCTTTGCCAGCAAACGCTCGAGCTCAAAAGGTTTTCAATTTTTCCTTTTATCCTTGATTTCTTGTATACACAGATATGGTCGAAAGTTATTTTTCATTTTTTTTTACGACTGCTAAAGTTTGATCATTTTGATTGAATCCTGTGAAAAATCTGTATGTTTCTTTGTGGTCTTAAGCTAAAGTTGACTAGTAATAGGATATATGATTTCCATTTGGCGACGGCTGTTGCATAGAATGTTACAATGAGCAACATAAGTACTTTCAAATAATTTTGTATGTGACATAAGAATTTACTGATTTTGTTTGATCTCATAATAATTGATTATAGTAATTTTCAAACCTATATTGAAAATCTTGTCATTGAGTTCTGTAGATTCAGTGACATGCTTCAGCTGAAATACATTGTTATGGCAAAGTCTATTAATTTGAGTGGCAGATATTACCTATCTATCTCTTGTTAAATCGCGAAATTGCAATGCGATAAGGAACATTTGAATTTTAAGTCTATGACCATTAAGGAGTGGGATTTATTGAATATATTAGTTATTCTTATTCTCATTTGTTCGTTATTTATGATTCTTAATATGATATGTTTCATTTTTCTTGCTCTTTGCCTGCATTAATTATGACAAGTTAGGTTATGAGATCATAGTAGTACTTCGGATGTTGGGTTAGCTTGTAAACGTCAATTCTCTTGTTTTCTTTATCAGTTCTTGATATTGCCCACCATATTTTATTATTATAACATGGCTTGTCAATAATATTATAACTGTTAAATTGTAGTTTTTTGGGCTAATGTTGTACTTTATTATTCTTTTAGCTTAATGGAGGTGGTTATCACATGCGTAACAATTACAGAGGGCGTGGAGGAAGAGGATTTGGGGTAAGAATTATGCCAACTTACAGTTTTGTTGTAATTGCCTAATTTGTTTGTTCTGTTGAATTTTGAGTACAATTTATCAAGAACCCAAATTCTTTTCTTTTAAGCCAATATAATGTGGATTATTGTATATCGTCGACTTTCAGATGTCACGCCCTGTAGCGAGATTCACTGAAGATTTTGACTTCACTGCAATGAACGAAAAATTCAATAAAGACGAAGTGTGGGGTCATTTAGGAAAACATAATAGTAAATCCAAAGACAAAGAAGATGATGAAAGTGATGAAGAAGATGATTTGCCGGTTGAAGATGATGCTGAATTGCCAAAGATTGAGGTCAAGGTAATTTGATGGTTTCAATTATAGTCCAAAACACGATAACGGCAATTTCAAGAGAACTCTATATACTCACTTTGGCTATTCTCGGCGCCTTTTTGCAGCCTGTTTATAACAAGGATGACTTTTTCGATTCCCTGTCCTGCAATTCACTGGAAAAGGACCCGAATCATGGAAGGAGTAGGTATTCTGAGCAAATGAAGTTGGATACCGAGGTAAAAAGATGCATGGACTATTTGCTCCCAAATCACCTTAAAAATCATATTTGTTGGTGGCTGATTTATCTTTTTTATTTTTTTAAAGACATTTGGAGAATTTTCAACATATCGGGGTCGGGGGGGACGTGGGCCCAGTCGTGGTGGAGGTCGGTTTCGTGGGTCGTACCAAGGAAGAGGTTATGGCGGATATGGTGGCTATGTGGCGAGGGGCCGTGGTGGTAGAGGTATGCATGGCCGTCCTTTCTAGAGCC